CAAGGAAACTCCTTGAAGCACAGCATTCTAGGAGCACACTGCTGCTTTTGTTTGCCAGTATCCTATTCATATCATCTAAGTAAGCACTTTACATACTTTAGCCTCCAGTTTCAAATGTTGGAGTCTTTATGTATTTATATTACCATGTTAAATATAGTTTGTGCTACTTTTTAAACTCAGGGACTCCAGCAAGATTATTTTAACAGTTGCATTAAAAACCAGTTTTTTGTAGTTTTTTTTTTCTTTTTTTTTTTTCACAAGTTTGCAATAAATTAGTTTTAATTTGAATAATAGCTCCATAGGTTATAGCACTAGTCCTTAAGTGTTAATTATCTTTTCACTCTGAAATTAATGTAGTCATTTCCTACTGACTCTTCTACACCATTATTGAAGTGCTGAGGAAAACATGTCATTGAGTTCTGAGCCAGAACTGTTGTTGTGATTAATCCTGGTCACATGGCCAATCTCTGCCAAAAGGAGATCACTGAAAAAAGGTGACAAAGACAGTGATTTCCTGTCAGCAAAGAGTACGACAGGGCTGTCTAGAAGTGATGCAAATGAGGGAAACTTTCACCACGGTTTGTTTGATCCACTCCGGGCCACAGCACACTGAGCCAGCGAGAAAGGCACAATGGAGCAGCAGCACACCCAGAGGAGGAAATTAACTGCACCTTCCGAGCAAGGATAGAGCTTCCAGCAGGGAAACAAAAACTGCTGGGAGATTATTTTTTCCTCCTCAACTTTTTTAGAAATACATCCTTAGTTTTTGATGTGCATTTTTGTGTTATTTAATACAGTGGACCACTTCACCTTGATGAAAGAGTTCAGCAGTTAACCTGTTCAAAAGCTGTATCAAGTAAATGCTTTCAAAATCTTTGCACTACTACATACAGATCTTTTCCCATCTATCATAATCGTTGCTGAAGAATTACTAGTAAAAGACTTATGACTTGTGCAGTTTGTATTAAAACCACCATACACCGCTTGTAATCAGAAAAAAAAATATTTCTTTTATTTGATATTTTCAAATGCTTGGTTAATTTTGTTCTGAACATACTAGCAATTTTAACAATCATACTGTACTTATTTAAACAGGGTTTTAATCTAACACAATTAAGTTTTGCAATTAATCTTCAGAGGAAAATGGAAAGAATTATCATTAACTTTTCTGCTAGTATCCGCACTTCTAATCTCGACAGTTCCCGTAAATACTGATTTGTCTCATTTTTGAGCATTCAAGGTACAGAATTACTCAAGTTCCTACTAAAGGGCTAATTAGCAGAGTTTAAATTCTTTGAGTTTGATCCTCCAGTAACAGCATATGAATACAGCTGAAGTCAATGCAAGTTCTGTGTACTTAGAGCTTATGAGATCAGGCTCACATTCAGTAGATTAAAATGAAATAAACATGATACACTTGGCATCAAACTGAGCTGTTACAGAAGTATCAAGAAGTAAGAATCCCAAACATGGAAATATTCCTTTTAGTTTTTTCTTAATTAATAGCTAAAGCATCAGAGGACAAATAATCTGTCATCAATTCATTCTGTTACTGCCTTTTTATCAAACACTAGCTGATTTTCAAAATCATTATCTAGTTTGGGGCTATATAACAGAAATCATTTAGGCCTATGTTCTCTTTTAAAAAAGAAATCTATGAATGAAATCTAGGAAGTCTAGAGAAAGTAGTATGTTCATATTCAGTGTTACAAAAAATATGGCTGTACTGTTCCTATTATAAGGGCAAAATAAAACCTAGTTAAAGAGATTCTAGTTAATAGGGATTCTAGTAAAAAAATATGTAGTACGTAGTATATTAGAAAAAAAAATTAAGCTGAGTATTGACTTAAGTGTATATTGCCTCTGAAAACAGAGTACTGTGAAAATACTCTAATCATGAAAATATATTTCATTATCCTATATACAATTTGAGCATTTATATATTGTGTTATGCTGCTTTAATGTATGCTTGGCCCTTCTGAATTACCTGTTTCATCATTGCTCCTTCCCATTCACAGACTCCTCAGGGGCAATGATTACTGTTGGTAATAGTGATACCACAGCAGGTTCCCTGGCAGGGGCGGCTTGCTGAGCTGGCTCTGAGCTGCAATTACTTGTCAGCTCAGCAACGGAGAAGGGAGATCTGTGGTTTCAGGAGAACCCACGAAAATGCGGGGAGTGCAATTAGCAGGTTCACATTTGAAGCTGTAATTGATAAAAGGAAGCTAGAGCAAGAGCTCAGCGTGTTTTCCTAGCTGCCCAGATGACTGAGGAGCTCCGGTGGCAGTGGCTGCCTGGGCTGTGTCCCTGCAGAGCAGCACGGCTGCGCTCCCTGGGAGTGCCGCACGCACGCTCCATCATTCACCGCTCTGAAACAGCCTCCCAATAAAACGGGTGTCACCACTGATTACAACAGAGGTTTACTAGGCTAGTTTTATAAAACTATTAATATTAAACTTTTGGAGGACATGATTCGTTGTCACACAAATCTCTAAAATTAGGGATGGTAAAGACCTAGTGATTTATACGATATTTCCTTTGGTAGATCAGAATTGTTTCCTCAATTACATTAGCTAATGTTATCCTTTGTCTACTTTTAAATGTCTGAAATTATCGAGCTTTCAACACTTTGAGAGGTTGTTCACTGTGGTGTTCGGGCTTTTTTGTTGTTGTTTTTTGGTGGGTTTTTTGGGGTTTTTTTGTTGTTTTTTTTTTTTTTTTAAGAATGATTGCTCTAAATGCAATGCACTTAAGATTTTTACATTACCTGCAAATATTCCTCCTGCTTTGTGGATGCTCCTGAGTCGTCTCTTATGCAAACTCCACATCTCTAGTTAAAGCTTTTGTTCCATCCTTAGAAATTTGCTTGCTGCTCTTATTAGAAAGGTAAATGCAATGAATATTCACTGCAGGAAGGCAAGGAGTCTATTTCTACTTTTCTTCAAGTGGTTTTGTACTGACCAAGTACCAGATAGGCAGTTTTGAGATAGTGGCTCAAATCTGGTACAGTAGCCTGTGACCTCCTGGCAGAAATTGCAGGACAAATAAGCTGCCTGTTATTCAGAATCAGTTCTGCTATACAGGCTGCAGATTCAGCTACTCTCTGTCATACAAACTTTCTGCTTTCAGAAGTGTCATGCCTATCATGGTTCAGAATTTCATAATATTAAGAAAATATTCCCATTTTGCATATATAATATTAGCCTTTTTCCACCATATTATACTGCACATATTATTAAATTGTTGCCCTTTTTTACTCTTCTCATCATGCACTATTATCCCAGCCTTACCATCTATAATTATTTTTAGGAGTTACATTTGGAAATTAGAAATGGAAGTATACTAAATAGGATCTAAAATACTTGAACTGGCTGTTTAATCTTTGTTCCTTTTCATAATGATAGATGGATTGTTACCTTAAAATTAATGTTTATATTTATTTTTTTTTCCATAGGACTAAAACTAGCAGTTAATTGTATAGAGAGGGACTAACTACCAAAACACCTTATTTTAGACTCACAAGAAATTCTTTACTAATTTCTGATACTGTTTATTTCTGAGCCTGCCCAAGGCCAGGTCTGTAAATGTGTGATCAAGTTCAATGAAGTACTTACAAAGTTAGGAAAAAGACAATAGCAAAAATAAAAAATAATTGTCAGAGCAAGAAATGGAGGCCAGTGAATGACACTCACTCAAAGCCTAAAATAGTTTAGATCTGAACTATATTTGCATTTATAAATATATTTTAACACAATGACAATCCCTTCTTGCTGGGTATTTTAAATAAAATAACTACAATAAGAAAGAATAAAATGAAATAAGACCATGAAGAAAATAGGATGCCAAAGCAAGAACAAATTATTACATTTAAGTAATTATCAAATCACGCAATCACAGAAGAAAGAGAACAACTTCTATTTGACCTTGAATGTACCATTTATTTGATAAGAAATAAAAAAAAAAGCTAGAGGGTAGTTGTTTCTTGTCATTATAGTGTTGCTGATTCTGTGGTTAGTTATTAATTTTATTTTTTATGATTCACAATCTGCTCTTTGAAATATGCCATATGCTCAAAGCAATTCAAGGATGACAACTGTCAGAATTACTCCAATAAAAATTGCCTAAATGAGGAAGATTTACTGCAGCCTGATATTTCTGTCGAAAGCCCCTCCTTTCTTTCCCCCACCACCCCTCAGACCCGAAGCTCCTCAGACACACAGTGAAGCCTGAATCAGTTTTAGGATCAAGTCACACATTTTGAGGAAGTTCTTGCAAGTACTATCTATCTAAAAGAAATAATAAATCTTCTGGGTTAAGGCTGTTATGGCAAATAAAAGAAACCATGTGTGTCTGCATGCATGTGTATACATGCACACATGTATACACACATATATACACACATATATATACATGTATCTATATATATATGCTAGAATTAGACCCTATAGCTTCACCCTACAAGTTCAAAATCATGTTGCTCAAATCACAAGCAAGTGTGAAGACTTAACATGACAATGACTACTTTATGTATAACTAATAAAAATTAAATTGGTAGAGTCCTGTATCCTGGCAGCAGCAAACCAAAATCAAGGCAAATGTCTTTCTTTCCAGATGAGGTCTGAAAGGTGGATAAAAATCCAGCTGAAAGCTCCAATCAAAACACATTTTGTTAACAGTTCCCATTTCATTTTTTTCCTTCATTTTGTTTCAGTCTATTTATTAATGCAGTTTCATTTATTTCTATTCATCTTGAAGACAAATCTTTGTCCTTCTATAGAATTACACCAAATAGAATGTGATAAAGGGAACTTTCTTGCAATTATGATGTCGGTGCAGCCTGTCAGTGCACAGGGGATGGAAATGAGGTTGGGGACAGGGAAGGGAATTCTAATAGACACCATGATACATACAATGAACGCAGCGATATCCTGTGAGAGAAAGACTTGTCAAGCTAATCAGATCTTCTATAGCTAGGTAAAGGCAGTAACGGTACTGCTAACCTTGTAAAGATGCTGCTGCTGCTCCTCTGACATCATCAGGTCATGGCTGTCCATCACAATGGATTCCATGTCAATCAGCCAATCCCAGAGCTCCTGGTATTCTGAATCAAAGTCCAAAAGGCTGTAGATAAGGAACAAAATGTATTATGCATAAATACTCTGTAGTTGTTAAAATCTTGTATTAGAATAATATATTCTTGAAAACTCATGATGTTCCAAGTTATATTTCTAAAGAGACATTCTGTATTTATACAGTGTGGATGAAAATGAAGACTGAAATCCAATTTAAGCCAGTGCCATGACCTAAATTCAGCAGCTGATGCCAAATCCTGACAACTGTTGGCATACTGCATTTGCTTCAAAAATTTTGAAATACAAATCCCCTATAGGTATTGTTTAATGTTTTTTTACAGAGCTGGCTTTATATTGAGCACATTTTGCAACAATCACCTTGATATAGTTCATATGAAAATATTATTTACATCAAAAAATTACTCAATCCATTCAGCCACCCCTCTCCTGTCTATCTGCCTATCTTAGTAAATATCCTACATTTATTTTCATGGATGAGTAGCTAGCATTTCAACTTAACGCCTTAAGATAGGCTTGAGTGAATATGGTAAGCCAGTGAGAACTAAGGCCAGATACAGTATTAGACAGGTGTTCCCTACAGACATGTAAGAAACAAAGGTAAGGACAGGAAGTCAAAACAATGAATCCTTGAATAGGCGGCAATCATTAAAATTCAAAGGAGGATCACTACGGTTTTCAACAAAATAAATCATTAGAATAAGGAGCTTAAAAGGATTAATGTGATTCTCTATTGAAAGCCTAGTGAATAAGTAAAGCATAGATTCTTCTAAAACACTGTGATACAAGACAGAAAGTACATGCTGAAAAACTGCACATTCGTCAAATAGATACCTCTTGAAAAGGGATCTTCAAATTTGCAAAATTGGAACTAACAAAAGCCTTGCCAGTAGTATTAAAAAACACCCAGACTGATCAAAGAATAGTGCATGTTCCACTAAAGCTAATTTCTCCAATTATTAAGATCTTTTTTAGCAACCGCATTAAAAAAATTAGCAGTGTTTCAACAGAGAAACAATAAACTAAACATGCTTTTAATGTCATTAGTACTACTGCAGTTTTATTATTATCTGGAGTACCACGTGCGTGGTAATTTTGAAAGCTTATAGATAAAGTTGTGACAAGTAAAACTGTCTTTCCTCAAGAAAGCAGGCAAGGTAGAAGAAAGCATTTCCCTTCCGTGGTATTATTTTCAACAAATTGACAACAAAGAAAGTATTGTACAATGCACAGGCACTGATTCCTGCTTCTGAAGTAATCCTCCACTTTAATCCACTGTACATAGTATACTTTTACTTGATCATTTTTTGAGGTACACTTACTCAAAACCGCTTGCTGCCCTGAGATGGTAAGCAATGTTACCATAAAGAAAGAAGAGCAAGCACAAAAGGTCAAGTTACTGTTACTGAAATAAAAGTTTCATTTGGTGTTCAGGGCTTTTTTCCTGTTTCAGGAGGTATTTGACTCAGATATCCTTTGGAAACTAAAAGAAAACTAAACTCCATTTTGAATTGTATATTTGGCAGTGTTACTGAATCTTCATTCCTTCTTCAGAAAGCAGTATAACCATTCTGCATCTTCAGTATCTACTGCTCGTTTTCTTCTCTTCCATCTTAGCCAAATATTATTCAAAGACATAAAACTGACAGGCAGTTATTAAAACATACATTTTATGACACAAGATGTTAGGTTTCATAACCTGTAAATTGGTACAGATTCAGTTGAACTTGGATAGCTTGTACCAGTGAAAATCCTAAATTAAGATATGAAGGTGATGTGAAACAAAGCCTAGATACAGAATGGCATGGGATGCCTTTGGAAAATGCACCAGGAAGTGGACTTGGATTTTCCTATATTATGCAGAAGATGTGCTGGATCCAAACACTGGCTTTATGTCTAAAGATCCACATCTTACCTATAGTCCAAATTGGTCCACTTATTTATGTATTGAAATGAACCCATCCTTTAAATAAACAGAAAAGCACTTTACTTTGACCTTTATAAAACACAGATAAGCATGAAAAAACAGCTGAACATTTTGATTTCAAAATAATGTTCTAAACAAGAACTCAACCCAAATGAAGAGAGTGAAAAAGGATTCACCGGAAAAAGCCCAGTAAGGGATACAAGATAAAGGATATTTGCTTTCTTTTCCCATAGTTTATATACAGTACTTTCTCTTTTTGTTTGCTTGTGTTTTTTTGGTTGGTTTTTTGGTTGGTTTGTTTTGTGTTTCTTGGTTTGTTGTTTTGTTTGGGTTTTCTGTTGAGTTTTTTCTTTTAGAGGGGGGGCTGTAGATTTTTGTTGGTGGTGACTTTTTTGTTTTCTGAAGTAACGTCAAGCCGTCTGGGAGCAGTTTTAAGTGACCATCTATGGCAGTTATTTGCCTGAGCCTGAAGATAGTGAAGTCAGCCTAGAGAGCATCATCAATATTTTTTTAATATGATTGCAATACCTTTTAATTGTTTCAGAATATCTCTGATACATATATTTTAAAAGCAGCTTTTTTTTTTTTAATTAATGTTTTGCATCTAAATGGATTAATTTAGCGATCACTAATAAATTACCGTTTGGAAAGGATGCAAGTTGCTAAGCTGCTAAAAAGATATTCAGAAAAAATCAAGAAATTGTAGGACTAGAGAGAGGTTAAGATTAAAATGTATCTGTAAGTACTTCTGTGGTATAGTTAATATTTCTTTTTTATTCAGAATCTACTTTTCTTGAGCTTAGCAGATCTTTCTTTCATATTGCCACAGGCAGAACCAGGGAAAGCATGACTTCTGAAATACTGATGTGTGTCAAAGATGCAATAATCATAGAAAAGATCTAATTTTGATTGAATATAAGAATCCACCAAACACTAGAAAAGGAATAAATTAGTTAATCAGTTTATTGATAAAGAAAAAAAATCCTCCATTAAAATTACTCAAACATTGCCAACAAAAATGTAATAATATTAGTTAAGGGGCAGGTAAAAATGGCTTCCTTGATGAAGTTGGTTGGCTAATAAGCTAAAACTGGTAGCTATATAATAACTAAAATTACATTAAGAAGTATATTTTGTCTTGGTAAACCAGGAATCAGATATGCAGAGTTGCATGTCTAATCCCTGGAACCCTAAACATATTTCTTAAAATGTGGACACCAATTTATTATTTTGAATGAAAATTCATGAGCACCTTTCTCATGAGAAAACCAGTTCGTCTGTGGCATTAATAAATAAAAAGGAATGTGAAGCTATTTCCATCAGCCTTTTTCCCCATGTTTAACACGCACTTCCAGTTTGCAGTATTACTTTGATGGCATAACTCACATGGCATTTAGAAGTACTGTAAACACACTGGTACACTTACCAAACAATTCAGCCAGACAGTATGTTCCTTCCAGTTTCTGGGTTATAATTTAATGGAACTGTTTTCACATGTTTTTATTAGGGAGATATAGGAGAATTCAGAGTTACCACCTTAACAGTTAAAACTGCCCTATGTTCTGCACATACTGGAAGCCTCCTCTAATGCATTTCTCTGAAACTAAGAGATTTCTATCTCTTTCTATCCATGAAGGCCCAATACCCATTAATGACAGGATCTTAGGATCTGGCTTTGTGCTGTCTATATCTCTCAATAGGACCTACACGCACTAGACTCCAGTTTTGAGGGGACACAGTATTTCCACCCAGACTTGCCGTAACATTTTGCACCTGCCCTCAACTACTCTTGGGTACCTCTTACCTCCTGGCCAGCTGGTGTTCTCCTGCAGTGGATACTCATTCTTTTCCTTTGTCACTTTGGCCATTTTCATGCTAATACACAAAAACCTTCCCTATTGCTGTTTTAACAAGATTACTGTTTTGAAGGAAATCTCCAGTTTTTTACACACCCACTAGAATCACACTATTCTGCAAATACTAACCTACCTACCTCCCTCAGTTTAACTATTTCCTGCACAGTCATCTCCCAAATCTCCTACACACACACACATCATACAAAAAATTCTTTATTTACAATAGCTCTTGTTCTCCCTGTGGATATTCTTCTTTCTCCTAGGTCAAACTTCCTCAACAGCTAATGGATAGATACCCAAATTTATGAAAATGGACCCTTCTCTGTAGTGATCTTGGTTTCTAGCTAGGCCATGCTACTGTGGAGTTTCTGTCCACAGTTTTTATGCAGTAAGGAAATGTTGCATCAACTGTATCTTTAAACAGCTGAAACTAATTTCCATTTTTTTCAACACAGTGCCTCAGATGGGTTCAACTGAACGTTTTCCAGTTGAATTTAGTCCCCACTAGTTTCTGCAATGGCTGAATAAGTGGTATTCTATTGGTCTGATTCCAGCCCCTTGGTCCCTGAAGTCAGTGTTGACCCTCTAAGGCCTGAGATGGCCTTAATGGCCCAGAAAAGTGGCCACAGCACTAAAAAGGTTAGAATTACTAGCAGATGACCATTTCCTGTTCAAAGCATATAATTACAAGTGGAAAAAAGTGCATTTAAGAAATTATTTGCTTATCACATATGGTGTGTAGAGTTACAAACTGGATTTCTCTGTGAAGCATAAAGTTTTCATCCCGTCCCCTCAGGAAAATCAAATGTCTGTTGATGTGTCTTACATCCTCCTCAATATTCCAACCTTAAGCTTTGCTCCCATTCAATGATGGCTGCAAAATTAGAAGCTGGTTTTGAACATGTAGCCCTCAGTGTACATTTATATACAAATACACACCAATTCTGAACAAATTATTTTTATGGTTGGCACTAGCTGCGCTGGCGTGTTTGAGAATCTGACAGATTTCTGCATATGTAATCAAGATCTCAGTAATCCTACATAATTAGCCCACATCAACTTTTCTAAAACAGTCATCTTTCTGTATAATAAGAGGGGATGTTTACAAGGCTCATTTATCTTTGCAGTTGGTAATTTAATAAAACTGTGTTTCCAAGACCTGAACATTGAGTTAACAATTGGGAAGGGGAGTTCTGGAGATAAAGAACTCATGAACACCTTTGTCAATGACTATTCTTGCATAGGAAACAAAAGTTCTACTCTATTTGCCAGTTGCAAGGAAACTTCTGTCAGGATGAGGGAGTCTCCAAACAATGAGCACTAGTGGGGTCCTTTGACCTGCTTTTGGCCCACATTATTATGATTCTACAGGTAGGTTCTTTATGAAGACCTTAAAGAAAAAGTCTTCTTCGAGAACTACAAGTTTCCTGGATTGTGAAGAAGACAGGGCAGCAAAAACTCATTTTAGCAAATGAATCAGTGATTCATTTGTTCAAAATATTAAGAAAGAATGCCTTTGCATGCACACTTCTATATATAATAAACACACATACATGTGTGTTAACATTCATTAAAAAAACAAGTCAAGGAAAAACGATCTTAATAAAAGGGAAAGCAGTTAAAATCAATGCTTTCTTGAAGTGCAAAAACCTGGATGTTTGAACTATAATTGAATGGCTTCATATTCATATTTCCTAATGTCTAGGAGAACAGTGATTATAGAGGTTTTGCAGAGATCCTTTGACACTACCAGGTTCTTCCTTGGAAGATGTTAAGAAAGCAAACTATATGAAGCCACTGGAGGAGAAAAGCCCAAAGAAAAAGGACAAGTTATATTTTTTTTAATCCAGATAACAGTTTTGTATTAGATAGTATTAGATGTTCCCATGAACAAACCATCATTTGGATAAATTATCCAGAACCCATTATTTTTGTATCCATATATTAAAAAAAAGGAGACAGACAGAAACAGTTTTGCCCTGTCTCTTGGCCTAGGAAGAAAAATCCTGGTTAACCGGTAGTAAGAAAAAGTATATCATGTTAAAAAAAACCCCAACAAAACAGATCAGTGAGAATAAAACAACAAAAAGAATAGTTCCCTACCCATTACTTCCCACTGTGTGAACTTTTGACATATCAGCAAACTCTTCCTTTCGCTTGCTACTACTGTTGTACTGCTCACTGTACAGTTTTAAGGACATCTGTTCAACAGCATCTCTTTGTGCTTCCAGATAGCATAGCTGAACCTCAGCCTAGAAAAAGAAAACAAAGAGGGAAAAAAACAAAACAGAACATTAAAAAAATAATTCAGAAAGAATACATTTAAAACAAATATTTTCGGACTGCAACAGTTTTAGTGAAATGATTCACACCATTAATTTTCTCCCTATATGTGGTAGTGAAAAAGGCTGAACCATTAAGTTAAAGAACTACAGTGTAATCCCAAAGGCTAGAAATGAACTATTGAGGTTTCTATCAGAGAATGTGTTACATATCCCATGAAATGTATATCCAATCAAATGCTCCATAAAAATGTCTGGACATGAATAAAAAAGATACTAGAAACCCAGAACTGTGATAGAACAGGTAGATACATAAACTCATATTTCTTACAGACTTCAAGATTGATATTGTTAACACACTGTCTGTGCTTCATAATTAATGAAAGCCATATTGCTATAGGTATTTTTCCTTTAAATAGTAATTGTAAACAAACCCAAGAAAATTGGCATTATTCACATTCTTCCTTCCTGTATCTGGCACAGACTGATTACTCAGCAACTTTAATTGCAAGGAAAAAGGTAATAAGTGAAATGTGCTGTTTTCCATCAGACTGTGCCTGTCCAGAAGAATGTGGAATAATATTTGGCATCATAACTTATTGAATAGACAGTTTATTTATTGCAGCTGTGGTGATCAGTATGCTTCTGAGGCTCAGAGAACCAGATGACACAAGGATAAAATCTGCTGTTTGTTGCACTTGCCCCTAGGAACAGCAGAAAGAACAGAGTGTAAAGTTCAAAAGCACTTTGGGGCCGATATGCCATTGTTTTCTTTTAATATACTTCATTGAAAGAAAAACACATTACAAATTCTGATAATGCTTCAAAAATCGCTACTTCTGTGTAACTACATACTTTTATTTTCATTAGGAGTGGAATGCCTGCTTAAGTACTTGGTGCTGTGGCAAGTAAATGCAAATGGCATGGAGGAAATTTTGTATAAGGACACTCCTGTATTTTCTGCTGTGGGAGTCAGGGAAGTAAAGAGTTTATTTGTTTGCTGACAGCACAGCAGAGTTACCAATCTCTGGAACAACAGAAGTCATAAAGAGAAAGTAGTGAAAGTGCTAGACAGAAGGGTAGTCTGTAAAATGCAAGAAAAATGCAAGCAAGTGAAGGGAAACAGGCACTGAAGAATCTCAGCAGGGAAAGTCTGAAAGAAGGCTGGAATGTCTTTATAAGCTAGTGGTAATAACAGTTTCTATATTTGCTTAGGCCTTGCCTTGGTGTAATTTTTTGCTGAAAAATAATGTGATTTGGAAATTCCTTTTAAAATTTCTCATTCAAACTTTTATACCTTTCTCTCTCAGCTGCTTCTTACAGTGAAACTAGTTATATTTTTCAATAAATCTCCATATGTTTTTGAGAAATTTAAAAACAAACCTACAAGCAAAACAAAAACCCAGAAAATACAGAAAATGCTAGCAATTGTCCAAGGAGATAAAAGATAAAAATCCTGACTAGTCCATGCAGGTCTTTCATTGTGCATTGAAGTGTAACTAAGGCTTTCATACCTATTTTAAAATAGTGGAAAATTAAACCACAAAATTTAACAGTGAAGAAACATTATCTAAACTAGCTGGGACTGTCCAGTTAGACTAAAATGTTAAGGTTTGAGAGAGCTATAAAACTATTCTGCTTTCTCAGAAGCTATAATTAAAATTGCCATTTATATAACTCGAGAAACAACTAAGGCAGCAAATTAACTGCATCACCTTCCTGTTCCTCTTCCACCCCCAAGTACGTTTTCCTCTGAACTGACAAACAGTCCACTTCCACAGTATACAAAGGTTCCTGAACAAATTTCCTTTTTTTGGAAGGATTCTTCACCAGTGAGGATAGTCTTTCAGCAGAGTATTTTGTATTGTCCACATAAGGCTATGAATGTGTTCTTTTAATTTATTCTTCCCACAAAGCAGTAACCCAGTGTATCATTTTAATTTCCATTATATTTGACATGACACATTCTGTCTAAAGCCCTGTTGTCAGTGACCAGTAAATTTCTAAAACAATTAGATCTATCAATTAAAGTCTGTGAGTGCTTTAAGCCTAGAGGGGAAATCTTGTGGAAAACTCAAAGCAAAAAAAAACCCCTTCCTTTCAGGACAGGTTTGTAAATCAAGATAAGTAATTCCTACTTTTTTTAGCTATGGATTTTGGCTGGAGTTAAGTAGAAGTTTTGAGGTCTTCTTGGCCATTGCTGCAATCATGTATAGAACCTTCCTTCTCCCCTCCCACCCCAAGGCTCCAAAAAGAGGAAATTCACTTGTAGCCTAAGCTCTGGAACATCACACATCATAATTAAAACTGAGCCCTGAATTATATGAGCACAGGCTGTTTCTCAAATAGCACAACTATCACAATAATTTAGAAAGTTTTTTCCCTTTGTATTTTCTAATTCCCCATCCTAAAATTTCCTCTATATTTAAAAAAAAAAAATGTTAAAAAATAAAGGCAGCAGCTTTTCATAAGTTGTTCATGCCCTGTTCTCTTGCAAAAATATTTGAAGGCAAACCAATAATGAACATGCAAAATGTGAGAAGAAAAAAAGGTATTAAATAGAATAGTGGGGGAAAGGAAAAGCAGGATGTAAAGGGCAGGTAAATATATGAAGAGGGAAAAATAAGAATCCATTATTTCTTCCTTGCAGCTATGAGGTCCTCTTGTACTAGGGAATATGAACTCCATCAACATCATACTCTACAAAGCCTGAATACAACCCAGTTCTTTCACTTCAGAAATATGATCTCTCTATAAATCAACTACTTTTATTTTTAAACCCAATTTCTATCTTCAACGTTTGTGAACGATTACGGCAACTCAAACTCAGACAGCGTAGAGTTTCAGATGGATCTCTCTGATTTCTTTTCTCTGTGTATTCATCTATCTCACTATTGTACTTAAGCATTTTTTGTCTCTGTTATACTGATATCAACTGCAAATCCAAAGAGGTTTTGAAGACCTTGAGTAGGTATTGATCAGTTTAAGTCTCAAAAAACTACATTCTACAGAATCTGAGCTAAGGTACAAGGCACAATATAGAAAAAAAGCACGGAGCACAAATATGCAATAGACCTACTTCAGTTTATTTTCAACTTAAAATCTTTAGTGGTAATGAAGGTTTTTGCAGTTGATTTCTTAGTTTTGCAGTATTCTGGGAGAAAAAAGTAACAACTTTATAAATTTCTAATCAAATACAGGAAAGCTACTTGATTTACACTTGAACCTGCATTGTATGTTTTCAGATTGCCTGACATATAATTTTTATTATATAACTCAAACCTCAAAAACAATTTCTATAAAAAACACCTGTATGGACACAGATATCTAGCAAATCCTCAAACACCCTCCTGGGATATCCATAGTCCCAAATCATTCATTTACTACTAGTGCTCTTTCTTACAACTGAAATTCAGTTCCTTCTTTTTTTTTCTTTTTCACATCTGAATATGTGAAAAATTGAACATGGAGGAAAAAATGCCAAGGAATTATACTCAGCAGTAGCTTTCCACTTCATGATCCTCTTCTAAGTGACCATTTTTGCAATAAAAAGACAATGAAGCTTCTATGATGGTCTTGTTACACACTTCTAGAAATTCTGTACATACTAGGATGGAGTGAGTTTAAAATATTCTGTTGTAAATTAAACCGAAATATTTCCAATAATCAAATGACAAAATTATCTCATTTTTCTGAGCCTGTAGGAACCAGTCTCTGAACAAGAATATGAAAAAACTGTAGTCATGGGGAAAACAGAGAAAAAAAATTCTAGACCAGAGCTGAATACTCAGTTCTAGTGATTGATTAATAATGGTAAATAATTTCAAGGCTATTTCCTAAAGCTCATTTTCTAAAAACCAAGGACTTATAAATAAATTGGGAGAGCCTGGGGTACAAATCTGTTCCTTAAGACTGGCTTTGCATGACAACACAAAATGTCCTTTACTATACAGATCACTATATAACATGAAGGAGTAATCAGTGACAATACAAATCAATGAAAATACATTGTATTTCTTGTTAGACCTACATGTTGGAATGACCTTATTCTGAAGTGGAGAAAGACAAGGGATAATGACTCTTACTGTGGGAGGAAGGAGATTGAAAGGTTATATTGTATACAGTGTCAAACAAGAGACTCAAAATTTACACCAATGTAAATTGGAGATATGAACTCAGAGCCAGTGTTTTTCTGCTGTGGATTTTTTTTTTCTTTATTTTGGAATGTACTAGAATAAATATCATTGAAATGGTGTTGAAAGGAAAGCATTTTCAGACAGTGTCTCCCAAGGAGCAGAAGTTATTTGTTATGAACTATGTTATTGTAGGCAAACCATTCTGTGTTTTAGATATACAAATTTCACATAACACATTCAGTTGAACTGAAATTATGAAAGTATTCTACCTTGCATTACCCTTTCTTTACAGTTCTGTAGAGAAACTTTACTTCTGCCACACTACACTGCATTTAGTGAGAATTATATAAGAAATGCAGACAGTTCCATTCCTCTGCCATTATTTGAATTTAAGCTGGATAAAAACAGCCTCTAAAATTAAAGCACAAAATCCAGCTTCTGCCAACAAGGAGGTGGTCAGATGGCTCCAGGCAGCCCCATGTAGACTTAGAATACTCACCCATATATATATTTTAAAGACATGCAAACTCAGATGTCCCATTTTAAAAGGATGTGCATTCCAGTTTGTCACTCTGTCTATCTGCAACTGGTGAAATTTCTTAAGATTTAAAATTGAGAATAATTTCTTTCCAGAATTAAGTTGATAAGAGTAGAATTTATGTGCTTAAATACTGAAGCATGTTTTGTTGTTTTTCTGTCACAATATTCTGAATACTTGTCTACATTATAAAGTTGTGATGAAGGCTTTATTCTGGAACACAAAACAGTCCCTGGCTCTGTTACAGTACAGCTACTGAATAAAATAATGTTGAGAAGTTTATTATCTCAACTTAT